AATTCCTAAAAGATTTTTCTGTTTTTCTCTCTTTTAATTGTGTGGGTAAAATATGAAGTATGAGAAGTTATTTGTTGGATAATAAAATTATTCTCTTTGTGGTTTATCTCTTCTATACATTTTAGAACATCCTCTTTTTCTTGTATCCAAAAGGTCAACCATTTATTTCCATTGATAAATTCTTTTTTTAAAAGTGTCTTTCTTTCTATGGTAGTTTCAGGGTATTGCTTAGGTAGTCCTTGATTTTTTTTTTTGTTTTTCCTAGAATATTGGCCATCATGGTACCAAGTTTATATATTTCTTCTCTTCCTATAAAATATGGATTTGTCAATGGGATGAAGTCCCTATTTCTCATATAATATGAGCTATAATCATTGATATTATTGTCTTTTATTTTCTCTTGAAACTTTTGTATTTCGGTCTCTTCTTATTTATGAACATCAGTCATTGTGATTTTATTATCTATTGTTGACTTAGTATTTACATGTTCTGTGATCTCCATCAATTGACTTTTCAGCTCCTGTAGATTACTTATATTCATGATAATTTCTATAAATTTGTCTTTTATATAGAGCTGTAGAAGATTTTCTTCTTTTTTCTTTCCTTGTTATCAGAGATATAGGATATATTGAGTAAGGATCCATTCCTTATGGAATGTTGCTTTGTCTATTCCTAGGATATTAGCAATAATACTATATAGGATAGTAAAAGTCTCTGGTGTAGGAGTTGTTTCTTCTTTTGGATCTCCTTCTGTTTGTCTTATCAACTGTTGAGATGTTTATAGTTCTGAGGTTTCATCGTGCTTTCTTGAAAGCTTAATTAAGGTATTCAAGATATCCTCCTCCCTTTTATTTACTATATGAAGAATATGTTGTGTCCTATCCATGTTGGCTGTGTCACATGATTATTGGATGAATCACACTTCACAGATTAACTTTGTTTATTTGTTTACTTATTCAGATAGTATTATTTGAGGTTCCTTAATTTATTTGTTGTGCTAGTAGATCAATTGTAGAGTAAACATGAGTTGCAAGTTGTTTATTTGTTTATTTGTTGATTTCAATAACATGTGTACTGAATCTATTAAGGGACAAATCAAATGTGAAGAATGTATTTTGTGATTAGCTAGAATACATGTTGAGCTTGTTTATTTGTTTAGAGACATGTCACGTAATCTATTGTTATATCTTTATTGTCTAAAGGAACATGTTCATGTTCACGTTATGTGTTAGTTATTTATGTATTGCTGATATGTTGTTACTGATAATTTCTAGCTATTATTTTTGGGTTTTTAATGTCCTCTTGAGTTTTGTAAATTTTGAGTTTTGACTGGTTTATGGTTAAGATTACTATATTGCCAGATTCCTTCTAATATCTAAAAATATATAAATCTGCACTAGCTTGATTGAAAGCTAAGAGAGTTAATGTTGGGTTCCTTGACCTTACTGTGATTCAGATTTACTTTTGTTTTCCCTTTTCCTCAAAAGTTGATAAATAAAGTACTAATGTTATTATTATGTACTCTTCTCCTGATGGCTTATTTATAGAACTTTATATGTTGCTTCAAGTGGGGTGATGTAGTTGTGTTTCTCTTTACTATATTTGTTGAGCTTGAGTTATATTATCCTTTTTCTCTAAACAATTATCAAAAAAGAAAATTTTTAGGAAAATAGTGGATCAGCGGTAAGAGTTTTAGAAATTGTATGAGCTTGACTATAAGTTTAAATATACTGTATATATATATATATATATTAATTAAAAAAAAATTAAAAATAATATTATTAATTAAATATAAGTTATTTTAATTAAAAATTATTTTATAAAACTAAAATATTTATAAAAAAAAAAAAAAAAACTCTTTGCTGATCCTCTGACCATACACGAAAAAGATATTTGCAAGAAGTTTTTATATTTTTTTGCCAATAAATTCTTAATACTTTTCTTAAAACAACTTGAAATATAACTTCAAAAGTCATTTCTACCCTTTCCTTATTGTTTACAAATATTTTTATTCAAAAACTTAACTTCTAGTAATCAAGAAAAGTCAAGCAATACCTTTGATACCAATGATAAGAAAGTTCCCAAAGAAAGAAGAACTGACTGTAAAGTACCTAAAGGACTATTTAACCTTTGAAGTGAGAGGTATATAAAGGTTTTTGATAATAGAAGGATTTATTTTTCCCCTTTTAGTCACTTGTAGATCTCTTAGAACTATTGCTTTCATGGTTTTTTGAAGAATTTTACCTACCTCAGTTTAATCCTGAATTTTTGATAGCACAAATCCTCACCAAAGGTGATTGACTGATATGAAACACATTAGTTTTTGAAATGTAAACAAGTTACTATTGGTCACATTCACATGTTTTGATATATCATTGATAATATAGGAAAGAAAGTTCTAGAAAAAATATCCTTTCCAATCATATATGTTCAACCTTCAGGAAATAATTATGATACTGAAAGGTGAATGATGGGTATAAAAAGAAGATTCAACTCTCATCTCTTATTAAGTTCCTCAGGTAGTGAAAAGACTTTCTTTGATAAAAGCTGAGATCTTTAAGCTTCTATTCTGATTAAGCAAAGTTCTTAAAATAATTTTTTTATTCCGGTCAGGTAAACTCTTCTATAATATAGTGCTGGCCTCACTAGCGAACAACGAATCTATATATTAAAAGAAGAATAAGTTTCTCAAATATTCTTCTTGAAGTTACTTTCAAGAATGACTAAGTTCCTCAAATGTCATGAAGCTTAGAGAATATCCCAATCAGGCAAACCCTTTTCAAGAGAAAACTGTAAAATAGAGCAAAAATCTTTTGGAGGACTTTGATTTGTATTTTTCCTTTCCTTTTTCCAGTGTCAACATTAGCAATTAATCATTTTTCGGGATAATCTACAGTGACAAATTGTTGGTGATAATTTTAGTTGACTTAGAGATACTATTGCCAAGCTACTAGAAGAGTGAAATATTATCCCTTAAATCTGACTTAGAGTACCTAATTTAGACTTAGTTTTGTTTAATTCGAACTAGTTTAGTGGACTCCTCATATTTTTTAAGTAGTATAGTCCTTTAACTAATAATGTACAATGATGAGTTAATCACTTTGTAAAAGTCTATAAAATATTTAGGTATTTCTCAATATCTCAATAAAGACATGCTATTGCAACATGATTATAGGTTAAAAAAAATAAAAAATAAAACTAAAAATATTTATATTAATATTTTTTTATATTTTTTAAATAAATAAAAAAATTTAGGCAATTTTTTTTGTTCCCTACTATAAATCTGATTATATTTATACTGTAGTTTATATTAAATTTGAGTTACGCTTAATGGATAACTTGATTATAATTAATGATTACATAATAAAATTTAGGTTATAAAATTTACCGATAATGTCACGTGATAAACAATGTAAAGGTGTCATTTTTTAATCTTTATAATATAATTTATTGTGCGTGACGACACCGGCGGGAAATGTCCCCATGACTTATTGACGAAATGTTGGATACCTACTATCGGAAATTCCTTGAAATAGATAGAGGTTGATTGGTACTATCCGGCATAATAGATGTTTAATTCAGGCGTTGCGCTTCATTAAACACTTTTTTCAAATAGATATGTTTTAGCATTTCGAAAGATCTGGTATCCGGAACATGTATCCAAGGGATTCTTATGTAAAAAATCTTAGTCCTGTTTCTTATTCATCGGGATTGGAAATATATTATTAAATTGGTTAATTATTTTCGAAGGCGGACCAGGGATTTTTCGGACCCTATGTATTATTTAAAACCGAGAGCCGAAAAAATATTTTGGTCGCCTTCAAGAAAAATTGCCCAAAATAGTGGTTTGCGTGGTTGTATATCATACTCATTAAAAGTATTGTTCGACTGTTTCGGATCGACTATTATAAAAGGCACATCGAAATGTTATACGGATCTTACGAGAAAAAGAAAGGCCCTTAAAAAACGCCCAACGACCGCTGAAAATCTAAGCGCTTTATTAGAATGATGAGGAAATTTTGTGAGAATTGATAGAATCTATGGGCAAATTACTAATATTAATTTTGTAGCCACGATCAAATGACAATAGGATATCGTGTTGTTGTATATGCTGTATTAAGAATGGGTTTCTAAAGAGGGAAACAAAGATACAATTTTTGCTCATATTTTATATTAAACAATATATATACATTATACGATGTCTTCAGATTTTATGGTATTGTATAATTAAAAAAAAAACGATCGATTATTTTTTATAATATTTAATTATGAACTGCATTTGCTTTTGAAAAAAATTTTTTATTTTATTATAAACTTTATATATATATAATATATTTTTTTATTAATATAATGAATAAGTTTAAAAAATTTATATAAATCCATAAAATTTATAGTTTTATTAATTAAAAAAAATTTTATCGAAATTAAAATATAATATTAAATCAATAATTATATTAATAAAATTTTATAAATTGAAATTACAAAACAATTGTAATAATACTATAAAAAATATTTCATTATTTTTTTATTAATTGAAATTACAAAATAATTGTGATAATATAATTTAAATACTATAAAAAATATTTTTTTATTTTTTTATAAATTAAAATATTTTTTTGAAAATATTTATTAGGATAAAAAATAAATTTTTCATCTATAATGTACTTTTTAATAAATAATTTTTAGATTCAAAAAAATATAAATTTTTATTATATTAGTAAAATTTTTTATTAAAATTATAATTAATTGAAATTTTTCAAAAGCAACTGTCCCTTATTATATATTAAACTCATAAACCTGCAAATTAAATATTTAATATTTAAATCATATTGAAATTTTTTCAGAAAAAAAATCTTATGAGTATATGCTATTTGTAAAATTGAAAATAAACAAAGACCACATTAAGTAAGATTGGCTGTGACGCAGATCTTTTTAAAAGGAACGCCTGGAAACTCATGGAAAAAAATTTTTTATATCTTTCCTGGTTGATAAAACAAAATATGCCTAAAGTGAAGACAGAGTCAGTCTCTTTGAAGATGATAAACACTCGAGCAAACTCATATTCTAACAATACCGTTTCACTCGGCGGCAGTACTAGAACTGTTCCGAGAACACAATCATCGAGCACCTCCAACCTTTATGCACTAGGTGCAGAACCACTTTTTCAAAACACAACACACGAGTCCAAGGATCGGCGAGATAACTCCGAAATTCTCAACTCAATTCTCAATAGACCTGGTCAAGATCAAAAACTCGATCCGCAACCTCCTGTTAATAGTCAACCGTTAATACCAAATCCCATTTCTCTACTGAATGAACTGCACCAAAGTCTAAAAAACACCAACCCTCCTAAATACAATTATATTTATGTGAGCTCTGGATTCATTTGTGAACTTGAGGTTTTCGGAAAGGTTTACAAGAGTTCGATACCAAGGGCACGAAAACAAGATGCAAAGGAGGATGCTGCACTCATTGCAGTCAATGACATCAAAGAGCAGGAAGGCTTCTCAGATATATTAAGTACCGATCTTTTGCAAGCATATGAACAAAAGATTGAAAACGGGATAAATGATACGAATTCTATAACCAGATCTCGGGCGTGGTACAATAAACAACAAACGGAGCATCCAGACAAAAAGCCTCGGGTGATTCTCCTGGAGTTTTGCCAAATGCATTACCTGCCGAACCCAATTTACACCAGGGAACTTGATATAAACGGACGTTATTGTTTTGAATGTGTAATTGGGGAGCGCACTTTTAAATCAGATCCCGAGCCTTTTACCAAAGCCAACGATGCTAGAGATCACATTGCGCTCAAGGCATTTACCACATTATACAATGAGTACTGTGAGATTGAACGCCAACAGAATAAAAATGTTCTCGAGATTTATGGTATGAAACGTTCTGATGTATCATTATCTGCTACGGAAGATAAAAAATGCACAACCGCGAATGTCGAATCAATTGCAAGCACAAGTACCAACTCGACCATGGTTCCTCGACCCGCCAACGATGCCGACACGGCCAGTCTAGTATTGCCCTCCTTAGATGAGAGTATGCCAAGGATCAAAGAGGAACCACCCTTGACGACTTCATCGATGCCTTCACCCCAAATTAAAACCGAACAATCACTTTCATCGCAAGCACAACTCCCGCCATCGATATCATCGCCCAATGTTAATTTCCATCCATACCATCCCAGCATGCGCACGCAAAATATGATGCAGGCAAAAAAATATATTAGTCTACTCTATGAACTTTGTCAGTTGAAACGATGGAAATATCCAACCTTTACTCTGCAAAATTGTTTAGTTGGGTTCACAGGAACTGTTTGTGTCAACAATCATGTTTTCAAAGGAAATGCGCATGTCAAAAAATCCGAGGCGAAAGAGGATGTTGCCGAAGTGGCTTATAAATATTTTATGGAACGACGAGAGTAAAAACAGAAGATTTATTTGCGGATGTTTAGCAATAAGAAATTTAATTTTTTTGTTTTTTTTTTTTTTTTTCTTTTTTTTTTCTTTTTTTTTTTTTTTTTTGCACAGTAAAGGAAATGTTATTAGTAGTCATTTACGCTGGATGGAGAGTTATTTATATGATTTGGTTCTCGGACTCGTCGAGTGTTCATCGTCTTGTTTTTAGTGCGATCGAGCAACTATTTGCTGTATAATTAATAATTTTGTTGACTGCACACAATAAAGTTATGTGACCGATAATTGAGAACATATTATTTTAAATTCTGCAACTAATGCGTAAACAAATATAATGTGAATTATCTAACAATTTTGGCATCATTCGGTGGACTTTTCCAACTCCACTTATCCCAAGATTCCATATACTTCCCAATCATACTCATGACCATCATATATTTTTTATTCTCAGCTTCTTTCTCCTTCTCCCTCTCTTGTCCCGTTCCTCTCCGCAATACCTTGTTCAAACATTCAACCCCTTCCTCAACTTCCATCGCATTTGAAAATCCAATTATGGTACTTGTCACCTTCTCACACTCTAGCGCGAATTGTATCGCCAACTTCGGCAAACTCAACCCTTCCCTTCGAGCAAGCGTGGCACATCTACTGGCGGTCTCTCGCAATTCCGGTGGAGCAGGATGCCAATCCGGGGCAGGAGCTTCGCGAAGTAAACCCATGCTTAAGGGTGATGCATTCATCACATAGATGACACCGAGATCACGAAAGGTTTCGATGTACGACAAGAGACGGGTGTTGTGAAGACAATAGTGAGAGTAACTGAGAACTACGTCGATGGGTTGGCCTCGGTCATGTTGAATTCGCGAGATCTTGACGAGAACGTCCAACGGATACCCTAATCATTCGAAAATCAAAAATTAATACGCAGAATGAAGGGAAAAGATGCGCCACACGAACTTTTACAAACCGCTTATTCCAACATGCTTGATTTTACCCTCTTGCTAATAAAAAATTAATTGAAGGTACGATCAGAACAACTCGGAACCTTTTTTCGATCCTTGTTTCGCAAATATATATTACCTTTAATCTAAACAATTCCTTCAGTGCACCGTCTTCGCCTACCACCTCTTCGATACTAACAAACTCCACGTCATGACAATAAACTATATCAAAGTAATCTGTCTTCAACTTTCTGAAACTTTCCTCTACACTTTCTCTAACCCGCTTCGACGAATAGTCAAAATCTTCCTTGTTGGGTCCATATCGTCCTACTTTTGTGGAAAGGTAATAAGAGGAACGGGGATATCTAGCACGAAGGGAGTCAAGGATATTTCCGAGGACCTCTTCGCTGCAACCGTAATACGGCGACGTATCGAATCCATTAATACCTTTACATCGGAAAACAGTAAGAAAAAGGAACGCGATAAATTAGGACACATCCGCATCTTAGGATTACCAAGTTCGAAGGCTTTCGTTACAGCCTCCAACGGCCAATCCTTTTCGACGGGATTATGCCGACCGTCGAATATCGATGTGCCGAATGAGATTTTTGATATATTAAATGTCTTTTTCTATTTTGCGAAACAGATTGATGAAAGAACTTGTTGCTTGATGCGTACACAGCGCATAATACTTGTAAAAATATTTACTTCGGCTCGGCTTGAATCCATTTTGGGCTTGTGTCGGTTCAATTCAGAGCTGGTCCTTTTTAATTTCGAGGAATTGGTCGACGGTAAAATTGAAAGTTATTTAAACAGATCACCTGCGTACATTTACGTATAATCAAGGCTTAGGCGAATGTACGCCCACTGATTATAAATTCCCCCCCCCCCTGAGATCAATGTACGTCATATAATCTATCAAGTTTCCTTCGCGCCGACATGTCAAGCATATTAAGATCAATAGTTTCTCGCGAAGAACAAATATTAGAATCTAAAGAAATAGACACGAAGGAAACTTGTGGCATGTAAATTTTTTTTTATTTTGTTTGTTTCTTATTGTTTGCTTGTTACTTTTCCCGTTTATACAAGAAAATTTACTTTCTTTGTAAGTTGCGGCCAAGACTCTGCAAAGTACACATGTCCCAAATGTAATCTGAAGTATTGTTCCCTGGATTGCTATAAGAGCGAGGTACATACATAAATTTTAACAACACCAACTTTTCCTATCTGCCTTTTACGGAATTTTTACTCATTATTGCAACATTTCAAAAGACGCACGCGGAATGTTCGGAATCCTTTTATAAACAAAGTGTACTCGAAGAGATCAGGAATCAACATGTTGACGAGGACCAAAAGAAACGAATGTTGGAAATGTTAAGAAGATTTGAACAAGAGGGTGACGAGATGGCGAAGGAGGAATTATTAAGTGATGACGATGATGAAGGTTTGATTACAATATTATCTGTATGAACCTTAATGGGATTGACCTTAATACTTGTTATTTTATTTAAAAAGATGACTTTATCGCACGATTTAAAGATATCGATATTGGTAATTAATATTTGCAAAGATTTCAACGAGGATCTCCCAATTAAAATTTTCACTTCCAATTCTTTCCGATCTCCACAATAGAGTCCACCGACGCCGAAACTATCTGGAACAAATTAACACCGTATGAAAGGAATGAATTCAAATCAAAATTTAACAACAACCCTAATGATCTACTTTACCTCGTGAAAGACCTTCCGTTGTGGAAACCGTGGTGGGAAGACTTGACAACGATAAATAGACAGCAAAAAATAATGGAACTAGACGTCAAGGACAAAGATGGTAGTACAAACAGACCTCCCATATTAAAGGACATAAAGAGATTAGAGAATTTGACAAAGAAATCACCGAATTCCAACTTAGTTTTTAATTTGGTAAATGTTCTGTATCCTAGACGCATCTTAACTACTAACATTTATTACTACTGTATCTTTGATAAATTTTTTTTACATTTCTCCATTGACTATTCTTTAACTTTGGTTTAATGATATAGATATGCGTACGCGCGTACATGTCGCAATTTTAATGGTGACATCTTTGAAACTCCGGAAGATTCTATCCTTGCGATATGGGAACTATCTCCAATCCTGGGTACTAATGAAAGTTTGGTGTATGAAAATGTCTCTGAGGCCATCACTATAGGCAATAATGTCACACTTCAGGTGATGTGTATTATTGACCTTGATTTTTTTCGATTGACCAGAAACATCAAAGATTATGCTAAAAAACCGTTTATTCGCTTATCACCCAACAGAACCCAAATTATATTCAACCACCAGAATTTTGGCACTTGATCTTAAATGACATTATCTGTCTACTTTCATCTTCGGACAATGTCCTTGCCGCGTTATCTGATATTTATAACCTCTTTCATCAAGTTTCTACTAACAAAACTTTCGCCTCAAAATCTTCCAACCCTAGGGTTGATGATCCCCGCAAATTATCCCCCCGTCTCTCGAAAGAATCTTATAAGCGTAAAATATTCCTGACCGAAAAGAAAATTTATTTTTATCTTTCATACACAAATTCTCTAAGGCAAACTGATATCCCGGAATTAGTTATGAAAGAAGTGGAGCTTGAGAAAGAGAGAAAAATCAAAGAGTTTGAGAATTACAGGAAAGATAAGGAAAGTATCGAGGAAATGATGCGTGGTGGTAGGTTGGGAAAAGATCAAAGTGAATTGAAGACTGGTGGCGACGACAGTTTAATCACCGAGATTTAAATATGCTTCGTGTAATTGAATGATTATTTCGGCTCGAACTCATTTCAATAAACCGCAAATTAATATTAAAATTAAGGCGGTCGCCGCCACTTAAATTATGAAATCTTGGCATAATTTAATTAAACTATTAAATATTTTTTAAGTCTACCAACTTGGATTTTCTCTTAAAGGAGGCATCATTACTAAATTATTATTTTAACAAATACTGTATAATGTCTAATAATAAATCTATTGAAAAATTGTGATAAGTGAACATTCTAAGGATTCTTTAATAAAATTGTAAAGTTGCAATCAAAAAGGAATACTATAAGAAATAAAATTAGAAAAATTGCCAATTGATTTGTTATCAAAATTGCTATTTAGTATTTTGAAATCGCAAATAAGCATTAAATAAGAGACTTTAATAAATCAAGGATTTTAATTATTGCATTGATGATCTCTATACAAGATAAATTAGCTATAGCCTATTATAATTATATAAACTAAATGCATCTGATTGATATCAAATTGTCAATACTCATTTAAAAAATATTATTACTATTGTTGATTTATCAATAAAATTACCATTTGATACTTATATACAGTATATATTTATATTATATAAAAGAAATAAGATGTAGTTTATTAAATCTATAGTAATAATCTGTAATCAATAATTTTATTGCTTAAAGGTTAATTCAAATCAATAAAGAAGCAAAATATCATTTTTTAAGTTATGTTTAAAGAAATGATTTTTTAATATAAGGTAAGAAATAAAGTTATTTATTATTGATATTGGGCCATAGCTTCTTAACCATAAATATAAAATTGTCACAATATATTTCTCTAAGCTTTAAACTACTCACAAAATATAAAAAGTTTAATTTGAAGAAAGGTTAGTTCCTTTTTATATTTTGAACAGGATAATAAAATAAAATTTATCAAAGAATTTTATTTTCTATTGTATTAACATAATACAATTGACCAATGAATTTTTTTTTTTTTTTTTTTTAATAGTCATACTAACTGAACTTTTATTGATCAGATATTACAGAATGTATAGTTTGATTTACAAGAACAATTCTTATAACTACCAGTCTATACTATTCTATTCCACCCAATTAAATGCTACCCGATTTTACCTGTTAAGGGTACCATCTTTATCAGTTGTCCTGCTATGCCCAGGCTGCCTAGTGTTCTAGGGATCCATTAGGTAACTTCTTTTATTATTATTTCTTTGTCAGGGAGTTAATTTTTGGATATGTTTGCATCATGGGATCTGTTTTCAGTGAAATGTGTTTGAATTATAAGATATAGTTGCTATACTTAGTTCTTAAAGACTGATTATACATTAATGTTCTTAGTCTTCATGTAATTCCAGGTAGATTTTTCGGTAGCCATTGGTAAACCATATTGATGACTTGAGTCTTCCAGTAACTATTCTTAACCACTCTTCAAATATGGCCTACAGGATTTTTCCTTGGTCATTATATAAGACCATAGATTTCTCTCAAATGTGTCCATCCCTACGGTTCCCATCATGCCTATTATACTTTAGCAAGCCCTCCAGTGCCTATGAGTCACATCCTCTGGTAGTCATTGGTAACAGTGATACATGTGTTTCCCAGTATGTGACCAGCCCTTTGTATATTTTTGACTGGTAGTAGCGACCAAAGTCTTCCAACTTTCTATGAGAATGATTTTTTGAGAAGAGGTGAGTTTTCATATAAAACCAATAGAGTTTTAAGTTAATTATTGTCTTTCCTGGCTTTCTTTTGGGATTTTCACATATTCCAGGTGACACGACGTCATAGGATCTTTTTCTGATGCTAAAACTGACCAGAATTTATATGACCTGATTTATTACATCATGGTCGAATGATAAGTTTCTATAGATTATCTTGTGTACAAGTGTGTATGTGATATTGAGCATACATCTTATACAATGTGACTTATTTTTACAAATACTGTTCTGAAGTGGGATTGAATCAGTAACTTGTGAATAGTAACCTGGGAGTATACCTACTGTGCTATTGACCTATAGGTTGACCAGTAAATTAGAATATTCAATAGTATAATCAAGTTTATTAATTTTTTTTTATTAATTTAGAATTATATTATAATAACTTATCTTTATTGAGAAATTAAAACAAAATACAATAGTTTATAGACTTTCACAATATAATTGACTTATATTCATATATATTGTAAATACTTTAAGTCAGATTTTGAAAACAATATTACACTTCCTTGAGAATCTATATTTATTAAGATTATTATCAATAGTTTATTATTATTAATTAATTTAAAACCAACAAATTATTAAGTTAAAAAAAATAAAATAATAATAATTTAGAAAAAAAACCAATTCAAGACCTATCAAAAAATCCAAAAATAAAAACAATCACCTATTAAAAAATTTTTGCCTAATTGAAATAATCTTCTTGTTTTACTTAAATCTTAAAATAAATTATCTTTTTTATCATCTACAGTATAGCTTTGAACATATCAATCCAACTGATTTTTTATTTAAATAAGTATCAGATTAAAATATTACAAGGAAAATATATTACAAGAAAAGTATTTTGATCTTAACTTTTTTTCATTAAAATTATATCATTATCTAAAAAAATTAAGTAAGAAATAGAAGTCTATACTTATATATCCATTACTTAATTTTTTAATGTCATAAATATCTTTATTAAGGAACTTGAGTTTCTAAGAACAAATATTTCTAGAACATTCTTTTCAATTACCAATGATGTCATCAGAACATACCATTCAAATTTGTTGATATAAAATATTTTTAAGGAAATTATAATATGAAATATAAAAATTAACAAGAAATCATTTATCAAATCTATTTATTTAATAGTAAACAGAAACTGATAATTAGTTGAACAAGCTATTACTTAAAGCCAAATTAAGATGGATTGATTATTAATAATGTAACCTTAAAATATATTTAAGAAATATTTATATAAAAAAGTTCTTATCAAAAATATTCAAACTCAACCATTAATAACTAGTTGCAAAGAAATTGGTCTTACTTAAAATAAATATATTATTCATTTTGAATAAAACTTCAAATTAGTATAAACCTCTATATAACTTTATTACTTTGGTAAAAATTAGCATCAAAAATAGTTTTTTAAAAATTATGTAATATATATAACAATCTAATCATATAATCACTTTGATCAATTTATACTATTTGAGAGAACTATTGAATAGCATTCAAGATTACAAACAATTGTAATAATAGTATTTACAGAAAAATTCACTTCAAAATTTCTATTATTATTATTATACAGCTAGATATATCTATAAAATCTTAAAAAGCAATTTAAACTAAATTTATTAAACAAAGTTCCTATTCCTAAATTACTTTTTTGAAATAGCTAATAAAATTTATTAAAACGATTTTATTTTTTATATAAAGAAACTTGATTTAGAGGACTTCACTTTTTAAGAAAAAAAAAGTGTACTAAAAATAATATCTAATACTATTGAATAGTTATTTTTAGTTATAATCTTTATTTTTTTTCTATTTTTATTTATTTATTTACAATTATTTCTTTGATATTATTTAAGATTCTTATTGATACTAAATTAGTATAAATTACTTTATTAAATATTGCATGTAATATAATTTACTATAAATTAGATAGTTTAAGAGATCCAGGAAATCAAAGAGGCTCAAATATTATGAATGGTTCATTTTTATAAATATATAGACAATCATAATTCACTTAAAAGTAGAATAAGCTTGTAAAAATAATTTCACTTTTATTTTAAAAGATTAGATATTTTCTTTTGATTTTAGGGCTAAAGTAATTGTCTTAGTTTTCTTAATTATTAATAAACTTGAGTTTTTAATAAACAATATTTCTTGTAATACATTCTTGATGAATTTATTCATAAATATTTTTTTAGTATTATAAATTATTTTTTGAATTATTTCTTTGTGAATTGTACTTTTAAAAACCATTTCACTTGGATATATCAGTCAAATATAAATTTGATTATAATATTAAAAGATTGAAATAGATAATATATAAATTATAGAATTCTATTTCTTATCTGGATTTCTTAAATAGTGCCAAAGTTTTAATAAATAAAAGCTAAGGTTTAAATACTTTTCTGAAGATATATCAATTTGATATTTGCTTAAATAAAAAACCAGTTGAATTGACTTATCTAATATTATAGATAATAACAAAAAACATTTTTTCAAAATTTAAAAGAAACAAGAAGACTATTTCAATTAAGTGAAATTTTTTTAAGAAGAAGATTACTTTATTTTGAAATATTTTTAATAATATTGTGAATTTTTTTTTTATTTTTTTTTTTATTTTTTTTTTAACTTAGTAATTTATAGACAATCTATAATAATGAACTATTAATAATAAATCTAGTGAATAAAGATATATATCAATTCTCTAGGAAAATAAAATATGTTCTTAAAATTTGACTTAGTGTATTTTGATATAATAATAAATTAATTATTATATAAAAAAATCTGTATGGATCAATAGTACTGTGATAGTATTTTTAGGCCACAATTATAAGGTCTGAAGTTCAATATCATTAGTCTAAATTATGTTATTTAGCTGCCAAATTATTGCTAAATTTGAAAAATTTTAATAATAAAAATATTGACAAATCTTTTATGATTGTTGCTATTTGGTAGTGTTCACAATTTTGATCTGAATCAGATTGATTTGTAAATCAAATATGAATCAGATCAGATCAAATTTCAAAATTTTTAATTCAATCAGATTCAAATCGAATTGAATTTTAAATTTACAAAATTATTGAATTCAAATCAGATTTGGATCAAATCCAATATAATTCAAATCAGATATGTACCAGTCTATATAAATTGTTATATAATTATTTAATTTGATTTAAATTGAACTATCTAGAAAATTAAAATAGTTTTTTTTTTAAAAAAATAATATAAAAGACAAGTTAAAAAAATTCAATACTTGCTTTTTTTGATGATTTTTTAATGTTTT